AGCCATATCCCTATTTTATTAGAAACGACCAGACTGAAAAGGCATCAAAAACGTTGGTTTTAAAAGCATGTAGTTTTTTTTTTTTTTTTATTAAACTCTGACTCATGAGAAGACAAAACCAAGAACCTAGTTGGATTAACATATTGGGATGTTAGAGCAGTATTTAAGTTTCACAAATAACTGATCATTAAAAATACAAAAAAAACAGATATATTTAGCCCATACCAAATTTGGCTGCAAGTCTTCAATCAGTACAACCAGCTGGACATCAAGCCCATTATTTTTTTTTTTTTGCTAAAAGGATCAAGCTCAGTCAGATGCCATTGTGTCGCACAATTACCCATAAAATTACATGTTAAGCATTGTTGAATATCAACAATGCTCTCTGCTCTGCTCTGGACCAGACTAATGCTACGTTCAGACTGCATGCGCAAGAGGCAGCAGAAGCACCCAGTTTACCTGCAAAGTCAATGGTTGATGCGCAATAAGGCGCAGCAAAAGGTCCTGCACCGCATTTGGAGCAGCAGGAGCAGCGTGTCTAAGCAGCCAAAGCAGATGTGAGCTGCTGAGCATCTGCGAAAGCAATAGCTGCTGGAGTTGGAAAAACTAACTTTTGCTGCCCGATGTGCCACATCAACCAATCAGAGAAGCTGATCTGGGTGATGGCAGGGAGACGGATACAGCACTACTGATGCAGATCCCCATAATCACTCCTATAAAAGAGTTTATTAACGCCTCAAATTAACTTAAAATCTCGAAACCTGCAGGCAAAATATGTTCGATTTTATGAAAAACGCCTTCCAGCTGCTGGGAACATTGATGAAAATCCCAGAGGACGCGACCGGGCAAGAGGCTGCTATTGAACAGCATTACCAGTCACAGCGCAGCGCGGGTGTACGGTGGTCTAAGAGGCTCCGACAGCAAAATAATATTTGAAGGCAGGTTCATAATCTTCATAAACTGAAGCACAGATGAAGCTTTCAGGTGGACTTTCTCACTTAAAAACATATCAAAACTACTTTTTACCCACTTATAACAGCAAATATAGCAAAGCAGCTCTCTGCCATTGAAAACAGGGGCAGCAAAAGCATCAGACGCACCCGGACACACTTTACTGGACACGCTTCAGTAGTGTCAAAGCTGCTCTTGAGGTGCGTCGGAACAACCATCAAAAATGAAGCAGCAGAAGCTTTTTTGCTGCTTCCAACGCATGAAGTCTGACCATAGCATAAAACCTGGAAATGCTAAAATATATAGCAGTGATTTCTAAAGCATCAATGAAATTTACCAGGTTCAAAGCACCAAGTGGTCAAAGTTTTTTGTTTTCTTTTTAATAATTAATTTTATTTATCTTTTTTTAATTTTCATCTGTTCAGCAAACAACAGTGTGTACTATCTTAATAAGATAAGATAATCCTTTATTTGTCCCAGGGCATGGCTTATTGTTTTTGTTGGCTTTAGTGCATTGATACTTTATTTTACGTGCTTTATTTTTATGTTACTTGATATTTCTGCTTTCCAGGCGCTGAAAGAATAATAATAAAGAACAACTATTGGTAATAAACAAAACTTATTTTTCTCTGTTGAACTTCTAATACTTCTAATATTTGCATAAACCATGATGCTAGAGACATGTTAAGATTTTAGTTCCGTATGTCAAAGTCTTCCTGAAAGGAGCAGTCTTGCATCAAAAGCCTGTGCTGGAGGGCCAAACTTATATGCAAGGTGGTGGTCCCAGTAAATCAATGCAAGGGTCCCAAATTGCCCAAGGTCCTCACATTTGATAGCCTTGATCTGAACCATTCCATTGTAGATCTGTCTGCATGGTTCGTTTGATAGTAATGCTAAAAGCGGAACCATTGCCACAGTCTCAAGGCTTTTGCAACTCCACACAGACATTCTTGCACCATTTGACTGCATTTAGCTCCATTCAAAATCCAAACATCTCTGAACACTTTGAAATAAAGGAACTAGTTATATGCTTATAAACGGGTTGCAATAAAGACAAATTGCATTGTATTATAAAGACATTTTCTCAGAAGAGAAACCGACAGCTGCAGACTGAGGCATTTCTGTCGCCTCAATATAAAGTTTAACCTCTATATATGCTAAGCTGCCTCAGAGTGCCACAGCATTGATATGATCTAAATGTTTGACTCTACTTTTTGAGTTACTATGGTGACCTGAAACTTTGTGGGAAGAGCCTTGAGGTCTGAGGAGCAGAGCTGTAAATTACAAACTCTTCTGGGAGTATCGGATCCGTGGAATTCCTGGCACGGAGTCTGAAAGCACACCCTGACAGAGCGGGCAAGGAAAGCTGGCACAGGGATTGCTTTTTCCCCTTTTCCTCCATCTAGTGTGTTTGATGTAACAAGGGATAAAACATAGAAGATCAAAATGAACCAAACAAAATCAAAATAATCTGCTACCTTAGATAAATGCTGTCCAGAGATAAAGGCGTACAAAATAAATGAAGGATGCCGCTATAGTCTACAAGAACCAGTAGATAATCACCCATCAAAATATCTTCTCACTTCTAAAGCTCTGTATTTTGTGTTTTCAGAGAACCAGTAGTCTTTTAAAGCTGTGTACATCATCACCATTACATAACCCCGACAGTTTGACCGGTCTGTAATGATTTATTGGTGTCTCTCCACTTAACCAGCTAACTGAAACAGGTTGTAAGGACAACAAGACAACAGCCTAAACACATACTCTGTTGTAAGGAGCCAGCTCTTTTTGCTCATCCAGGAGAGTCAGCTATAAGTCTGAACCAAGGCCTGAAAACACATTCTAAAAATGCAATATGCATTGTTTTCATATTAAACAATTAGATTAATATAACATGTAACATCTAAATCATTGAATCTAATTTTTCCAGCTGTTAAGCTTGATCAGGGGTGTGCATCCTGTGGCTTTAGAGACAAAAGTGGCTTTTTTGGATCTTCCATAAAGCCATTTAACTGGATAAAGCTTATAAAGAACAACTGGATGAATTTAAATGTAGATATAACAATTAATGTAGGTTTTAGTAGTTTATTTTCTGCAGATGGTTTATTCTTTGCTGCCTTCAATTTCTCCAGCAGGATGAAATAATGTGTCCAAAAGTATATTTTTTTTAGATATTTATGTTTAAATCATTTTATTAATATGTACTTATGCAAAGTATATTTATTTATCGAAAGGTTTATGGTTCCAAGTCATTAAATATGTCTTTTTTGAGAGGTGATGTAACAATCATGGCCCTAGACAAGTTTTAATTAGTTGGAATGAAGGAACATGCTCTAGAACATCTTTTTTTTTTCCAACAAAGGAGAACAGAGAAAGTTATACCCGTGATAAATCTGATTCTTATCCAATCCAGATTATAATCATCAAATTTAGCAACTCAGCCCATTTTGAATGTGGACTGATTAAAACTACATGTCTACAGGTGGATGGTTGTTCAACCCAATCAGAGTTAACTACCTAGATGTCTGTATATTTATAGAAATACTTCGCCAAAAAAATTTATAACAGGATTTAATTGATTTGTTTTTAAACAGAAAAAAAGCATTTTCATAATGAGGCAACAGTTACTAGGGATGCAAGTAACGATTAGTCGCCAAATCGATTAATCTGTCGATTATTTTTTCGATGAATTGATTAATAATCGGTATAAAAAGATTCTTTAAAAAATACTTTCTACGAAACGAAATCAGGTGAAACTAAAACTTTTCCACCTGAGGGGTTCAGGATAAAGCATGCTGACAGATTAAAAACTTTTTTTTTTTTTTTATCTTAAATGCAAAATGTTGATATATTTATTTTTCTACAATTTAGGTATAATTACTGCTCTAAGTGGGTCGCTCTGTCAGCTAAAGGCATGCTTTAGAGTCTCTATAGTCTGTCTAACGGTTACTCGATTACTAACTTAGTTGATGATTATTTAAATAATCAATTAATCACAATTATTGATAACATAGCTGTGCCTACAGACAGAACAAATTATCATTAGGATAGAAAATGAAAAGAAAGAAAAAAAAAAGATTTTAAATATTAGTGCTATTAAGATGGATTTATTGAGGACTCAATTAAAAGAAAAAAAGGAGCTTAATGCAGGTCGATAGTGTTAGGTCTGATTTAAGACAATTCCTGAGTTTCTTCTGTTCTAAGGTCTACTTCAGCACATTCGTTTAAGATCTCCAGGGTAACAAGGGGACTGCAGATCATCTGGAGATGCTGGGTAAACACTAAAAGGATCACCAGCCACTCACATCGACTAAGATGTCAAAGCATTTTACAGCAATCAAAGAAAAGCCAGATCGCAGTGAGAAAACCCTCATCTTCACAAGGAGAACATCCAAACTAGAACTTGGTTCAAGCTCAGCATCAACAGTGGATCCCAGCATCTAAGTTTCTAAACCGCATCTATTTTATCAGAAACATAAGATGTTACAGTTTTTGACGTCTTTTATCTCCAGGGAGTTCCTCCAAGTCATTAAATTACCCAACCTGTTCAGCCGTTCTGCTTCTCTAAACAGAACAACAACCTGTTTGTCCCTTTCTCTCTTTCTTCGAGGGTGGCGTCTACAAAAGATTAACCTATGGAATGAAAAGATCGTCAGAGAAAGAGATCTCTGGGTGGGGCTCTCTAAACCCATCCCTGCATTCTTTTCTAAACTGTTCTCTGATGCCATTGGTTTTCCTGTTGCTTTTCCCTCTTTTTCTCAATAAACTCTGCTGTCTCCAATTTTCTGCACACTTTACATCCGTCCCTTTTTCTTGCCTCCATGGGAAGTGAGGTAAACCGAGCACAACAGGATTTCTGGCTCCGTCTGGGCTTCTTTTGATCGCTAACCTCAGGCCTTCAGGAGAGAGTCTAACCTTAATCTGTGAGGTGATGTGAGCTTAAAGAGACTCGACAACCTGTCAGAATTTGCACTTAAACATCCGCTTACAGGATGTCAATAAGAGCAGCTGCTTTTTAGAAAGAAAAAAAAAAGAAAATAACAACATACCGGATCGCCACTTGATGATTTCATTATACTCTTCGTTGACTCCTTCTGCATTCTCCCCATGTGACGCCATTGTCGAATAATAATCCAATGTTAGCACAGATTAAACTATGTGGTACACCTGGAAACGGTGGAACAGCTCTTCTTTCGCCCCTGCAAGAGAAAACAATATCTTAGAAAGTTCTACACGGGGTCAGATGGATTTGTAAAAACAAAACAAAAAATGTTTCTTCTGTTTCCAAATTAAATGAATCCACCCATCCTGCCTGAATGCCTATCTCAAAGAAAAGCCTCCCCACAGCACAACACTGCCACTGCCATGTTTCTGCAACTATATACTGTTGGGGGGTTTTTATGGTTGATACCAAGTGTTGGGTTTTACACCACAAAGTTTTTCCAGGGGTTTCCCTTTAGATCAGGGGTCTTTAACATTTTCCACGCCAAGGACCCCTAAACTGATGGCCAGATCAAGCAATGACCCCCTAATTATATATATTGTATGAAATTGTGTTATATCAAACTGGTCCTATAATAACTCTATTACAGATGGAGTCATGAAGGGAAAGTAATTTTTCCCTGGGATTATTAAAGTATTTCTGATTCAGATTCCTGGTTGGTTGCGGACCCCCTATTGAAGGCCTCAGCTTTAGATAATGCAATGTAATGTTAATAAAGGCCTCATTTTTTGCCCCTTTCACACTTCAGTTGGCCTGCTTTAAACAGAGCATGCTTAATTGTTTTTGTTTTGTTTCCCTATCAACAAGTTCTCCCACCTGAGCTCTTAATCTGCACAGCTCCTCCGGAGTTTCTGAGGGTCTCTTGGTTAACAATCTCCTAGCCTGTCTGTTTAGCTGGATAGGCACGCTGTTGCTCCATATTCACCATTATCTACAGGTGCTGGTCATAAAATTAGAATATCATGAAAAAGTTGATTGATTTCAGTAATTACATTTAAAAAGTGAAACTTGTATATTATATTCATACATTACATACAAACTCATATATTTCAGATGTTTATTTTGTTTAATTTTGATGATTACAAATGACAACAAATGAAAATCTCAAATTCATCATATCAGAAAATTAGAATATTGTGAAAAGGTTCAAAATTGATGGCCCCTGGTGCCACACTCTAATCAGCTAATTAACTCAAACCACCTGCAAAAGCCTTTAAATGGTCTTTCAGTCTAGTTCTATAGGCTACACTATCATGGGGAAGACTGCTGACTTGACAGTTGTCCAAAAGACGACCATCGACACCTTGCACAAGGAGGGCAAGACACAAAAGGTCATCGCTAAAGAGGCTGGCTGTTCACAGAGCTCAGTGTCCAAGCACATTAATAGAGAGGCGAAGGGAAGGAAAAGATGTGGTCGAAAAAAGTGTACAAGCAAGAGAGATAACCGCACCCTGGAGAGGATTGTGAAACAAAACCCATTCAAAAATGTGGGGGAGATTCACAAAGAGTGGACTGCAGCTGGAGTGAGTGCTTCAAGAACCACCACACACAGACGTATGAAAGACATGGGTTTCTGCTGTCGCATTCCTTGTGTCAAGCCACTCTTGAACCACAGACAGCGTCAGAAGCGTCTTGCCTGGGCTAAAGAGAAACAGGACTGGACTGCTGGTGAGTGGTCCAAAGTCATGTTCTCTGATGAAAGTAAATTTTGCATTTCCTTTGGAAATCAAAGTCCCAGAGTCTGGAGGAAAAGAAGAGAGGCACTTCATCCACGTTGCTTGAAGTCCAGTGTAAAGTTTCCACAGTCAGTGATGGTTTGGGGTGCCATGTCATCTGCTGGTGTTGGTCCATTGTGTTTTCTGAGGTCCAGGGTCAACGCAGCCACATACCAGGAAGTTTTAGAGCACTTCATGCTTCCTGCAGCTGACCAACTTTTTGGAGATGCAGATTTCATTTTCCAACAGGACTTGGCACCTGCACACAGTGCCAAAGCTACCAGTACCTGGTTGAAGGACCATGGTATCCCTGTTCTTAATTGGCCAGCAAACTCTCCTGACCTTAACCCCATAGAAAATCTATGGGGTATTGTGAAGAAGAAGATGCAATACACCAGACCCAACAATTCAGAAGAGCTAAAAGCCACTATTAGAGCAACCTGGGCTATCATAACACCTGAGCAGTGCCACAGACTGATCGACTCCATGCCACGCCGCATTGCTGCAGTAATACAGGCCAAAGGAGGCCCAACTAAATACTGAGTGCTGTACATGCTCATACTTTTCATGTTCATACTTTTCAGTTGGCCAACATTTCTATAAATCCTTTGTTTTTATTGGTCTTCAGTAATATTCTAATTTTCTGATATGATGAATTTGAGATTTTCATTTGTTGTCATTTGTAATCATCAAAATTAAACAAAATAAACATCTGAAATATATGAGTTTGTATGTAATGTATGAATATAATATACAAGTTTCACTTTTTAAATGGAATTACTGAAATCAATCAACTTTTTCATGATATTCCAATTTTATGACCAGCACCTGTAAACTTCTCTTCTCTTGCAACTTTCATAAAACTTTTGTATTCATACTTAGAAAGAAAACACAGGTCAATGTTTTTCATTTGTTTGTTTTCTTTTTAGTTTTCCACCAGGTTACGGGTTACAAAGGATTTAATTTTGCAGTATCAGAATAAAAAAGGCTGAATACAAATACAAATATCATCTTTTGGAAAAAACATATCTGGAAAACTTTTTTTCCCCCTCCTTCTAATTAACAACTGGTTAATCTTAGCTAGTAAACTAGGCTCACCCGCCAGTGGTCAAAATCATTTTTGCCTATGACTAAAATACACATTTAATCTCACATTTAGTCTAGTTTATCAGGCTTTGTTAATCTGTGTTATTTCATTAAACAAAATCACAGTGTTACATTGAAAGCTGTGACTGCACTGCATAAACAAAAAAAAAACACCTTTGTAAGGCAAGATAAACAGTTGCATTTAGGCACTTTTGTAAAAAAAAATATATATATATATATATTTTGGCATTTAAAGAAATATGCACAAAGGGTGAGTCTTGTTCTGTTTATTTACACAACCTCTACCTTCATCCAAATCACCACTTTGCTATGATTTACCATCAATAAACTCAACTTCCAGTTTTATCTAATCTAACAACATTCTTTTGTGTTTATTTCTGATAATGGGTCAAAGGGACCTGCTAAGGAAATGGGCTTAACATTTATGACATTTAATTGAAAGACTCTAATGTGTTGTCTCTGCAAACCAAGAATGTGATTCTGTGTAGATGTGTTATATCTAAAAACAGAATATGAATCAAGAGTATCTGTCTGAGATATATGTTTATTTATAGCTGTTGAAAATATGGTTTTGTGGATCATTCTTTACAAATCTCTGCATCCTTCAAAAACAGTATGGTTGGAGGTTTTGTGCATTTTAACCAGCCTGTTGCTTGGTGAGTCAAAAGTTCTCAGAGGATGATGTAACCCCCAGAAAATAGTGCAATGAGCAAAGGAAAGGCAGCACTGTCTATCTCTGCATGCTTCTTTCAAATTTCAGTTCCTCTCTGGGAGAGGGGTAGTTGTGGCGACTAATGCAAAACAAAACAACAGAGATCCAATCTGTCAGCTTCATCTGAACTCTTTCAAATTGCATATAGAGGTGCAGAAGTTGCATTGGAGCTGGAAATGGTGCTTTTAAATCCAGTCATCTAAAGACCCTGCCTAAATCTGCAGCAGTGAGTCTGAGTGGCCTGCTTGGAGTTAATGTTTCATCTCCCAGGCATGACTGCAGCCAATTCAATTAAACCAGCGCGTGCACGCCAACAAAAATAATCTTTAATCATTTCTGGTTTTGTTTAAAAAGCAAAATATCTAACGCCGCCAAGGAATATTGAGACTTTAGTCTTTTTTTAACGTGTTACAATAAACGGGAACATAAGATATAAAATAGAGAATTACAAACTCACCTCTAACGTCTGTCACAGGGGTCAGAAAAAGTTTTAAACACACTATAGCCAGGTGTGGAGGGGGAAACGGTTGTTTTCCACAGCAGAAGTCCCAGCAGACTAAGGCATTTTCAGTGAGAAATTGACCACCTTCCTTATCAAAGCTTGAAAACAAGCTTAGATAAAGTAAGGAGATCCTAACTGAGGAGCATCGATGTGCTGCCTTTAAAATTGGTTTAGGAGACGCCTCTCCGCAGACCAAGGCTGAGAAATCCCCTTTGCTGTCTTTATAGTTTACAGCTTGCTATGTCCTGAACGCTGAACAGCATTTCACGGCTTAACGAGGCGGTGCAGGTCCTACAACTTTGTTCCTGTTGCTTTCTGGACTCTTTTTTC